GCTCTTCTTCTAGAGGTGCTTTTCCAAGGTGGCATGTGGAGTTGGATGTGTTGGCCTGGCTGGATCTGGTCACCTGGGTCTTGTTGGGCACAACTGCTCTGCTATGACTCTCCCACCCCATACCCTGCTCCCTGGGCTGGCGTAGGGGGGATGGCAGCAATAGGAGATGCCCAAAGAGGTTCCTCGTCATTTGGTGTCTTCATGACTTTTCTTTTTGCATAGGTGGAGCAGCTGTGTGTCAGGCAGGTGGTGGAGGAGGCTGGGAAGACCTGCAGCAGCAGCCCTATGCTCCCCATAGCTGATGAGACACAGCATGACCAGGTGTACAGGATCTTCCAGGACATCTGTGCGACGCACCAGCGGCCGCTCTTCAGAGAAAACCAGCAGATTGCTGTCTGAGCCTCCTTTGCCGCGGATGTAGCGCAGTGGTTTGGGTTGATCAAGACCCAGTTTGGTCCCATTAGTGCTTAAATTCCCATTTTGAAAAGTTGGTTTTTGTTCTTTGCTGTTTCCAGTCCACAGTCTGTATAAATACAGCAGTGAAAATCACCATGAAGAAAGCAGGTTGGATGCTCAGTGTCTGTCCCATGGACTCTTTACTGGTTAAAAATGACTTCTGTACCAAGCAGGGTGGTGCTGGTACTGTTGTTGGTAGCTAATGGCAGGGGGAGGAGGCAGCATCTGAGCTGCATGGGGACGGTCAGGGCTGGGAGCGCTTTGTGTTGCCTTTGTTAACAGCCAGTCAAGCAGAACCGAAAATCAACAGCCATAACTACCTGCCCCAGCCGTCTGCAGCTCGGGCCTTGCTGAGAATAGCAATTTGGTAGGAGGTGGCCCTTGGAAAAGCCTTAAAATGCTCAAATGTGTGAAATTCTTCTCAGAAATAATTTTTTCCCCCCCCGAGAGTCCTGCTGATGGAGGAGAGGGTATGCCTCCCAAGGAGAACCTTCTCAAATTCCTCTTTATTTTTGCTATAAGGTTTATATGGCTATCTACCAAAGTATTTTGAACCTTGGAAACCAATGCAGAGATTCTATATGTGAACGTTGAACAGGAGAACTTGGGAATCTTAATTTTTCCTAACTAGAGAGTTTATATAAATATATAATATCTTTAATTTTAAAGATTGCCACATAGTGTGAATAGGTTGGCTTTACCCTCCCAAATGCGTGTGTTGGGCTCTCCCAAGCATGACCAGGCAGCGGCATCCATGTGTAAATCCTGATTAACATGCTTTGTGTGCCCACCCAGCAGTGGGGAGCTGCTTGGGTGCGGGGCTTGTGCCTTGCAGCTGACACAGACCAGGGCTGCACATGTGTGCGTGCTATTAAGCTGCCTATTTATTTTATGCCTGAGGTTTATTAATTTTTTTTGTAATTTTTTATCTTCCTGCAATTAAAGTACTATATTTTGTATTTCTCTTGCAAATGTGGTTTTTGGCTGCGATGAATGGGGTGTCAATCTCTGGTGGGCAGAGCCTGGTACCTCTGTCTTGTTCCTGCCCTGGTTTTCCATGGGGTGGGTGGTTAAGCCTCTGCTGTTGCCTCCCTCCTGCTCTGCCTGGTTTCATCCCTGGCAGAGGAGAGGAATGAGCCAAAAAGTTGTAATGCAATGGAGGGAGGAAAAGGGTTTCAGTTCCTGGGGGCATCAAGATGTCTCTGCTTATGTGCCACTGCACTGGCCTGGGTGTCCTCACCTCTCTGACCTGGGCTGTGATGCTCCAAGGTCATGGGATGGGGGGGTGGTTATTCATGGTCCTGCTCAAAGGCATGGTCTTGTCCTTCCCCTCTTGGTGCCTGGTGGAGCCTCTTCTCCATCCACCTTTCTCCTGGGGGCCTGGGTTAGTGGAGGAGGGGGGTGTTTGGGAAGAATGAAGGGGGGGAAAAAAGGGAACCTCTACCTTGGTCAGACAAAGTCAATGCTACAGCAGGGGAGGTTGAGCATCTGCCCCCTCACTTGCCTTTGCTTCAAGCCTGTGTTTGGGGCAGCACATCAAGAGGTTCTGGAAGGGTGTGAAGACCATGTTTGATCTGTCACCTTGGTCCCTGAGAAGGACAAATGGCACCAGCTCCTTCCCCATAGCAGGCTCTGCTGTGTGCTCTGGGGCAGCCCTGCCAAGGGGTGCAGGCAGGGAAGCACCAATCCTCAGGGGGTGACCCTGGTACTCAAGGTACTGGGGGATGTAGGCACTTGTGAAGGGGATGCTTGGAGATCCAGGCAGCTGGAGGCTGAGTCTCCTTAGGAGATGGATGCAAAGCTGTCCTCCCTGCTTGGCTACCAAAGCAGCTCAGCCCTTTTTGTGCTGCTCTGCCTTTTTCTATCAATGATAGAGACCTTCCCAAGCACAAGTGTGTGGTCAGGGCACAGTTAAGATGCGAGGACCCTGACCTGGCGTGAGTTGGTCACAGCTCACCTCTGCCAGGAGGTTGTTCTGGCTGCAGGATCACTACCTATTTTGGTGTAACTCGGCCTTCCCAGCGAAGCCTCCCCAAAACAATTAAGCATTCATCTCTCATCAGACCTTGCAGCTGATCCCCCTTCATCTCTCCAGGGTAAGCAGTTACAGCCTCTGTCCCAAAAAGCAGTGAGTGCACAGTGGGCAACACACAACTTACAGCACCAAAAAAGTGCTCTGAGATGGGCAACCCAGCTGAAACATTGTGGTTATACATTAGATTTAAGGGAGGCCCTGCATCCCAAGTTATTTATGCTATGAGCAGCCCACTCTATGGCTAAGTTGTTCTCCACGCCCCAACTGTTTTGGGGGACGCTCATCGTCCTGCCTGTGCCCCTGTGCACATCCCTCATGGGTGTTACAGTGCCTGGCTTTGGTGCTTGTGAGCAGAGATGGCTGCAGACTGATTTTTGAGGATGCACCAGGATCTGAAATGCAATGAAGTCCCCAACTCCTGTAAACTCTTATGGGATGCTTGATCACGGAGGTGGGCATTGCACCTTGAAGGTGCACCATCAGCCTTTCCCTGCTCCTGAGGGCCATTGCGGCATTTCCCATGGGGTTTAATCCCGTCCTTTGGGCTCCCTCAGAGCGTGGGAACACTCATGTCCCCATGCCTGAGGTGCCTGGTGGGGGAGGCGGCAGGGGGGAGGAATTGGGAGCGAGGCACCCATTGCGGTCTGTGCTGGAACAACACGTGCCCACTTGTGAAACATATGGTGGGCTGCAGGCTGGGACACCATAAACACCACTTGCGGTTTCCCCAGATGTCCTGGTGCAAGTCCTTCCTCAGAAACCACCATCTTGTGCTCGCCTGGAGCCACCTGGTACGTATTCAGGGCTCTTTCAATTTCCACCCCAAGACCGCGGAAGAGTGGTGGGGAACAGAGGTACCTTTTGTTGGACCCGGCTGCGCCGTTTATTTTTAGTGTTACCATCGTGCCTCAGAGCCCAGAGCTCGGTTTGGGACCGCGCTGCGCCTTGCTCCGTAAAACCGGCAGCACGGCTCCTGCCCTGAATGGCTTCCCAGCCACATCCCAGAGGGGACAACTGGTGGATGAGGAGGGACTGGGAAGGAAACCGTGGGGCAGGGTCTGATGGCAGAGGTGGGATGTAAGAAGGATAACGCAGTGGGGTGCACGACCCCTTTTTGCTCAGGGCTCAGGTAGGACTTGCAGCTGGGTTTGTGCCTAATGCCTGGCCCAAGCTGGGCTTCCCCAGCTCCATCCCACCCCCAAAATCCAACATGAGAGAAGCCTCCAAGGCTGACGGTCACTCAACAGACCAAAGACCAGATGCTCCGGCAGATGGGAGCAAGTTTTGAGGCAACCACGCCAGATTGCACGAAGGGATGCTCTGGCCCAGACTTGCAGTGGCCTTTGTAAAAGCCAAGAGGAATTTCTGCACATCTCCTACTTTTCCCGCAATCCTCTTATAGCTAGACAAGGCAGGGAGCTGCTGTCCCCACCGCCTGGGCTGGGGAGCTGGTGCTGGTGGTGCCCGGGAGTGTCCTGACATGGAGGCAGCGCCTTCCATCCTGGCTGCCTGTCCCTGCACCTCGCTTGGCCCCCGGTGGCTCCGGTGAGCTGCTTGGCACAGCTGCGCCGAATCTTAGTGGTTTTGGGTGACCGGGGACTCAAATACTTTCGTTGGTTTCTGTTCACTTGGGTTCTTCTCTATGGCCTCGCTGAAGTGAAACCTCGGCGTCTGGTGTCGGCTCTTCTTCGTCAATGGCTCATCTGTTGGCAAGTCCCAACAGCCGCCCATGCCTTCAGCTGAGGGTCCCGTCCCCAAATCCTAGGGATGCAGTACCCACTGCATATAGCGTCCACGGCACAGGCTGCATCCACTCCAGTGAACGATCCTCACCGGTGTAGCAAGGTTGTGGGTAGTGTGAATGGGAAGCTCAAAGGCTGTCCTCCCCAAAATTCTTGCTGCTTGTCCAAATGCGGTTTCCTACACCTTCAGCATGTGTTTGAGTTGGAGCAGTAATGCCATCAAACTCCCACTTGATGTGAAAATATTTCCTTGCTTCCCAGGAAGGCTAACCCAGGTGCTGGGTCCTGCTGCTCTTTCAGAGAGGGCTGCAATCCCTGTGGACATGGGAAGGTACTTTCTCGGAGATGCCCATGCTAAACGCCGGCCTTCAGGAGCAGAAGGGCAGAGCGAAAGTTTCACTTGGGAAGGGGAGAGTAGCTTGCTTTCCCTGCAGGAAGACCAACCTTTCCTTGCAGGAGATACATGGTTCTCCTCAAGCGTGTTTGGGAAGCAGCAGCACGCTTACCCAATCCTCATATAGGCCAGGGCAGAAAATGTGGGGGAATTTTCTATCGACCTGTTCTCTAAGGTCTTTTAGCATAAAGCCATCTACTCCCTGGTGTGCACTGGAGCACTTTGATTTCTACGTGCTGCAAAGGACTTGATAAACACTGCAGCCCCCACCTGATATTTTGCTCACTGACTTGGGGTGTTATTTGGGTGCAAAGCCAACCTTACTCCTGAGATTTGTCCTGGCTGGAAGGCAGTTGTGCCACTGGGAAGCATTTTCCTTGGGAGAAGATGAGCCTGGTTGTATCCTGCAGCATTAATCAGTCTTGTTTCAGTAGTTTACCATGACATGGCCTTCAGCAAACGCAAAAAGAACCAATCCATGTGGCTTCAGGAGCAGAATTCGGTGTCTATGAGGACAACTGGCTCTATCCATCCCTTCTACATGCTTGAAATACAGGGTGAGGAGTTACCTGGTGACAAATCTCCAGCACAGAGAACAGGCTTGCTGGACTGGGGAGAAGGATGGTGAGGTTTGGATCCAGAGCTCCAGTCCAGCTAAAGCTCTTGAGATTCAGCCCACCTCAACGTGGAGAAACAGGAGAAGCTCTGCCGCCACCTCCATCCAGCTCTGGAGGCCAAGTGCTCTGCGCAGAGAGACGACCACAATTCAGTCGCAGGTCCTGGCTCACAGTTGAACTGCTCAGGGATACAACATAAGCCAGCTACAGCTGCTTCCTCCAACCTGCTGCTGCTTGCCATGGGCCCCCACCGGCCCCTGTAGGCGTTAGAAAACAAACAGTCACTTTTTATTTCTAGACACCAGGGTTTCCAACTGGTTTGATTGCTCAATGCCCCCATTTCAGCAGAGCAGCCTGTCCACGATGAACATCTCTGGGCTCTTCCTGCGAGCGTGTTGTAATATGGGAAGCACCCTCCTTCACATGGTCACCAGCGGCAGAACATCTCCTCCTGGCCCCCAGGAAGGCAGGAGAGCTGCATGGGGGCTTGTACCTCCCTCTCCAAGGG